CATTAAGTTTTCAGCCTGTGTCTAATAACACATGGGCACTATTGAACAATGGTAGTAAACCCTTGAACCAATTGACTTGGGCTTAGTCTGGGCCCAATACTTCAAGTCTAAGTGACCCTTAGTTTTAGTCACCCTATGAAGTCTAAGGATAACAAACTAGCATAAGATAAAGCCCATTAGGTTTCACCCTGTAATGGTCTCTTGATCTCAATCTCCCATCCCTAAATGATCAAAACACTACTCACAGAGAAGGACCTCTTCCTTGACTGCTAAACCACTACTACCAGTTGCAAAGATATTTTAGGAATAGTTTAAAATCCACTACTACTAGTTTCAAGTTTCCATCAAAGAGTATGAACCCTAATACTCTCTTTATCTGACAAAGGGATTAATCCTATCACAATAATCACCAACTCAAGTAATTAATATTCTAAATTGTTCTTACATGCCCAGGTATTTTACCCTAAAAGGATATCACTAATTCACATATCAAAAGCAACCCAATCCAAGACCTAATGGAGTATCATTATCAAGTTTGGGATTAAGTACAACTTTCCAATTATTTTCATCTATTTCCAAGGTCCAAGGGATAATTGAAAATTGGTCCATGGTCATTGTTTCTTAACAACACCCACTAACTATACTTAGGATTTAACCCCAGCAATTGAAACAAGCTACTCCAACATTTCAGCAATACATTAGTGTTAGTCTTGTTGAGATAAATTCCTCAAGTTTATCCAATAGTTGAGAACCTTTTAAACCAACAAAAGTCTCATAAGTGTCTAAATTAAGGGGTAATTCATAGAAACATACTAATAGAAACATAAAACAATAATGAATCATTTTTACCTATACTATTATAAAAAGGTACGAATGAGGGTGTGGAACTTTTCTTAACTAAAATGCTCGTATTTTATTTAGTCCATCTCTAATTATGGGGACTAAAAATGTAATTCTAATTAATGTTTTTCATCTCATTTGATCCCCTCTCATTAAGTCTTATATTTAAGGTATTAACTCCCTTCTCTCTTATTAAATCCTATATTTAAGTTACTTTTTCACTAATAAATGCTATTAATTAGATCTATGTTCAATAATTATAACAATATAAACCCATATATTTTAAAACTTACTCAAAAACAAAACCATTCTTTATCCAAGTGATGACTAAGCAATTCAACCATTAGTATCAAATTGGTCAAGCCATGAAGTCATAGTCAAATAATAAAATTTTTAAATAGAAATAAATATAGAAAATTACAAAAATGTATAAAAACTAGACACATTTATGATATTTTTATTAATCAAATTGAAAAAAGTGTAATAAACAAGAATTATTTTTAATGGTTATGAAAATAAAATACATAGTCTAAAACTAACCAAAGTGAAATTATTTTCTGGTTTGACAAAGATTAATAGTTCAACTTATGGGTTAAATGTGTCAACTTTTAATGTAATAATTAAATAATAAAAACTAATAAAATATAAAAAACATAAAATTAAAACAAAACATTGAGCACATGTATAATATCATATATTTATCATATTAAACAAAAAAATAAGTGTACATAATAGATTTATTTTTACACATGTAAAAACAAAAAACATATAGAAAACATTGAACACATCTATAATTTTATATTTACACTACTATTAAAAATATGAATAAGATTGTGGAACTTTCTTTTGACTAAAATACCCATTTTTTAAATTTAATTCCTATTTAGTTGTGAGTTTTAAAATGTAATTTGACCTATTACTTTTTACCTCATTGAATTCCCTCTCTTTTAATCTTACATTTTTTTTGATAAATGAACAAAAAAAGATACACTAAGAAGATAAAATATTACAAAAAAAAAATAGTCCAACCAAACAGGTAGGCATGCCAATGATACCCAAAACTTTGTAGCCCACTATGAGGTATCTACATTATCGGATTCGAAATTTTTAATTTGCATTTGATGAATAATAAATATAAAAAATAAAAAATAAAAATATGAATTTTATAGAAAATTTCAGATACATTATTGCTATCATTATCATCATCTAAAACTATCATGTGCAAAGTACATGCATACTGAATAGTTAATACAGAAAGAAAGTATATATCAATTTGATTGGAGCTAAGGGCATACACTGTCAAATAGCTCTCACTTGCACTTAGGTCCAATCAATTATAAGCCTTAATCCCATACTGTGTATGTGTCTTTCATACACTTTCTATGTCAATGTCTTAGTCAATGGGTTTGCCACATTATCTATTGATACTACCTTCTGAATTTAGATTTCAATGGCTCCATTATTGTCGCACAATAGTGGAATGGGTAGACATGCTTAAAAACCTACCTTTTTGGCATTAAATATATTATTAAATGAATTGCATTGATTTTTAAGTCCCTCATTTATGAAGTTAGCTAAGCAAATTACATAAACCTCCCCTTTAGTTTCACCAACTTCCCCTCTGTTTTGATCTATGTAAAAACTCCCCCTAAACTTTAGTAACTTAAATAGATTAGTAATACATGTGTTGTAGTTAATAATAAGTTACTAAATCCAAATAAAAATAATACAAATTTATCTAACATTACATGACCCAAAAATTATATTTGGGTTGGACTTGAAAGGCTCTCCCCAAATGGAAATATCTTAATGCTCCTTCTACTCTAATATTATTTCATTTTATAAAAGCACATGTATTGCAAAACATAATTAATAAAATTAAATAGGGTGGGTAAAGAGTAGGGTGCATGCGAGTTCCATCAACCTAACCACAGAGAACTTGCGCTCTACAGGTTTGTTTGTGTATCTCCATTTGGAGGGGTGTCGATTGACCAACTCAACCAGTGGACGGATTGGATCTAGCTAAATGTCATAATATTCCTTTTGCCTCTCGGTTTTCTTAACAAGGCCCCTGCATCACATGGGTATTGACTAGTATAGTATAGAAGAGAAGGAGAAGGAGTTTATTTCACAAGTTTCCTTTAGAGGAGTTATATTAAGATTTAAATTGTTAAAAGGAAGGATGACATGGTCTAATAAGACAGGCTAAACCCCTAGCGACTTGGCTTAATGGTAGGGTTGGCAAGGGTGATATATATATATAAGTTGAACCATAAAGTTCATTAAAAAGCAGATATGCAAATCACATTCCAAAACCTTTTGAGCCCAACCAACCAATCTAAATCCAATAAAACCCACTCATGCCTAAACAAACCCAAAAACACAGCCCAAGTTCTATTGGGTTAAGCTTGGGTTGGGCTTGTGTTGGTAATCTCAAGCTTGACCTTAGGTTGGGCCAGGCCTAAATCTGAAGTCTAAGTTAGGATTGGGCTTAGGTTGACCAATTCAACCTAACCTGCCCAGGTTGCATCTGTACATACAAGGGGGTAGGTTTAAGAGTGAAGAAAGATAAGAGTTAAAAATTTTTGCAAGTCTGGATTTGGAAAGAACGAATCATGAAGAGTTTTAGGAATCAAAAAGTCAAGCAAGAGGTAGAATGTAGCAATGGATCATTTAGTAGGAAGAAAAGTTTAAAGAATGGAAACACAAAAATCTATACTATTCATGACCAACTGAGGGCTGGCTCATTGGTGTATTAGCTGGTTTGTTCTAGCGTTGATGTGGAATCAAATCCCGCAATCAGCACTTTGAGAAAAAAGGGAGTCAAGGAGAAGGTATTACCCAAAAAAAATCTAATCTCATGTAAATTGAATTTTGTGATCATTTATAAAAGGGTAAGTTATAGATTACCACCTTATGCTTTAGGGGTAGTGATACTTTAGATGTTTCATTTACAACATACCTGAACTTTTAGATTCCAACACTTTGCCTCCTCCATTAGTTAACTTCAAAACAGATTCTGATATGACTGGCATGTGCCTATTAAATATTCCTAAATCTCCAAATTACCCTTTCCTTAATTTATTAGACCATTTTGCCCTTTCTCTTATATATTTGTATAATCCCTTTAGCTATGTTTCTTTCTTCTTTCTCATGGTCTTGTTCAAGTAGAGTTTAGAAGCGAAGTGAAGGAGAAAGAGATCATGTGCTTTGTCTTGTCCATTTTCATCATTTTGAAATATCCCCTCTCCCATATGACTTCAAAAGGATATTTTAGTAAATTAACTTCCTCTATTAATCCAACAAGGAAGGGGCCAAGTATGCGTGGAAAATGTAATTGCATTCACATATATATATATATATATGGTGGTGTAGATAGATATTAGATGGGATGAGGGTGCTCATTGGTGGATAGTGATTTGGGCAATCTTCTTTTTATAAAAGGAGGTACCGCGTGTTAAAAAGACAAAAGCACCCCCCCAGGAGATTGGAGTCCAATTTCAAACATATGTCAGCCAATTAATTGCCTTTTATCACCGATATGGGTTGATTGGAGTTCAATTTTTAACCAGTGTTTTTAAAACAGGACTGAACAGGGTGGTCGGATCGAAAAATTGGGAATTAGTCATTTCAAAATGGCTTTTTGGTCAAAAACCATTGATTTTGCCAGTAAATCATTGGCCCAGTTAAATTGTCGAACCATCGACCCAAACAATAATTTTTTGCCTTTTTTTTGTTAGAACAGGCCATTCATTCAGATCGGATGATTGGACCGTTTGACACGGGAACAGGACCCAGAACGGTTCCCTGTCCGGTCCAATTTTAAAATCCTTATTTTTATTCTTTAACCATTTGGAGTGGGACTTTCACTATGCATCATCATCACGATCATGATCGTGCTTGAGACCTCATATGATAATCCAACGGTGGAAATGAAACAGTCCTAGAATAGATACTCCTTGTCACTATCTCAGTCAGTAAAATCTAAAGCTGAAAGGAAGATAAAGGCCCAGAAAATAAAAGTTAATCAGAGCGCAGTAGGGCCTATTGCTTCTAATTAAACTGGCCACAAGGTCCATCGTCATTCAATATGAATGGATAAGGGATAAGGTGACATCCAATGAGAAGGGATAACAACCACTAGAATAGATACTCCTTTTCCCATGAAATCTTAATTTGATTCAGACACACACACACACACAGGCCACGTTCATCTTCATCTTCTTCTTCTTCATTCAATCACTAATTCCTTCCTATACAATCTTATACTAGAGACCCTCCCTGGTGGTAAGGAAGTAGCTAGCTATAGCTAGGAGACAATCATCAAACAATGGCTGCCGCTTCGCCAATGGCCAGCCAGCTTAAGAGCAACTTCGCATCATCCCTTACAAGGGGACTGCTCTCTCCAAATGGTCTCTCGGGAGCTCCACTGAGGGTCTTGCCTTCCAGGAGAAAGCCTTGCTTCACTGTCAAAGCTGTTCAGGCAGACAAGGTGAGAGAATCATACATACAATATTAATTTCTTTATTTCTTCTTTTTTCCAGTACTCCCAAGTCCCAATCCATCCATTATGATCAGAAACCAAGCCATTTTAAATTTGAATTATGAAACAAAAATGAATTTAATTAGAGAGCTTCTAATTAACAATAGTTGTGTGGACGGTGCAGCCAACTTATCAAGTGATTCAACCCATTAATGGAGACCCCTTCATTGGAAGCCTAGAGACACCAGTAACATCAAGCCCATTGATCGCTTGGTACCTCTCCAACCTGCCGGCCTACCGGACGGCAGTCAACCCACTTCTCAGAGGTGTTGAGGTGGGGCTTGCCCATGGCTTCCTCCTTGTTGGACCCTTCGTCAAGGCTGGGCCTCTACGGAATACAGAATACGCAGGAGCAGCAGGATCTCTAGCTGCAGGAGGCCTAGTTGTGATACTGAGCATTTGCTTGACCATGTATGGGATTGCATCCTTCAAGGAAGGCGAGCCATCCACCGCTCCATCACTGACCTTGACGGGAAGAAAGAAGAAGCCTGATCAGCTGCAGACTGCAGATGGCTGGGCCAAGTTCACTGGAGGCTTTTTCTTTGGAGGCATCTCCGGAGTCATCTGGGCTTACTTCCTCCTCTATGTCCTAAACCTTCCTTACTTCGTTAAGTAATAAAGTAGGCATTTGATTTTATCTTCTCTCTCTCTCTTCATGTATCATCGATCTTTTTAATTAATTAATACCTGCTTATTCAATTCTCAAAGGACATGGGATATTTGTATATTTGATGACGTTTGATTACCTGAACAACATTTCAGAAATTCCTTATTTTGAAACATGTTGATCCATTCATCTTCCCCTTATCACTGATCTATGTGATGAAATTACTTACACAAATATATATAAAGGAATGAAGAGAAAAGGTGAAGACAAGTCAAAACAAATGGGGGGTGTTTGATAGTAGATAGAAAGAATGTGAAATGAAGAAAACTACCCAATAAACAATATTACTTAAATGGAATTAGTGATGAAGCTAATAAAAATCAGCTTTAGAATAGCCATTATAATAGGTGATTTACATTTAGGGAAAACAGTACACTGATAAAGTAATAAAGGAAATAATATAGAGGGAATCAAGGGATTGCAAACAACTATTGATTGAACTAATGAGCAGTAGCAGAAATTGCAAAATGGTTATTTTAATGTAAAACAAATGAATTTGAATTTAAGTATCGAAATGAAAATGTAGGAGATGTGGAAATCACAAGCAAAGTAATAAGATAGATATATAGTACTGCTACTCAACTTACAAAACCAGCAAAGTATTCTCTAAAGTTTCATAGAATTGAACAACAAATTAATATAGGATGATTCGCAAGCAAATCTGATAATTGAATCTTAAATGGCCGGGTTTTTATCATCCAAATTCCACAATACAACTACTAGAACAAGTAAAATAAAAAATTAAAAAAAAAAGTTCAGTGATTAAAATAAATTGAAGCAAAAATAGGACTATAAAATTAAATGGGTTATGATCTTTCCTATCAATCAGTGATGGACTGTTGTTCACACCAATGGCAAGCTTAGAGGATTGATGGCGTTAGGTATGGAAGTTATGTAGTCGACAATCATGGCCTGAGAAATATAGAATTCATATGGCTAGTTGATAGTGAGTTTTTAATGGTTAGTTTTGCATTAAATGCTCCAATTATTAAAGGCATCAAGTTCTTTCCTTTAATTTTAAAAGCCTAAAGCTTTCTTTGATAGTTGAAAGAATCATCTCTTTGGGTGAAAATAACCGAATCTTTTTGGAATAAAAAATCTAGTTACGAGAATCCCTCTCAAGACTATTTCACTTTTGTTTTTTCAGACAAGTGTGTTTTTTTCTTTTTCTATCTCATTTTTTACCTTATTAATTTTTAAATAATGGCACAACTGCCCTCCATTCAAAAAGAAGTGCTATTCTAATGTTTTTCTCTATTTTTCCCCTCCTTCCCCATTCACTTGAATTTGGATTTCCTGCCCACGACAAATCTACCCATATAATATCGCAATCACACATGAAGAACATCATGTTATTATGCACAAGGAGATATTCCTAATACACGGAGGTAGTGTTTTGTGAGTAGGCATTGGTAAAGTTTTTGTGGGCAGGAGATCCAGATTTCATTCTCTCGACCTGCAGCAGCCCAAGGTGTATGCTAAAAGATATGCCATATTTTCTCACTTTCTTTGCTAAGTTAATTAAAAAAAAAAATCATATGTTCGCTAGATGCTCATCATGTTCTGTTTTTTATCATTTTGTATTTTCTTCACTTTTCATTCTTAAAACATAATGATATGCAACGATTGGGAAACGCAACACAACATATTGAGTTGTACCAGTCCGATATAAGCCCGTATTGGTCCATTTCGGGTCTGGATGTGTATCAATCTGTATGCTCCGTATATCAGATCCTCAACGAAATGCAAAATATTGGCCAATACAGACCTGATACGTTGGGAAATTTTAACCTTGCACTCAGGTACCAAGTATGCAACGTTTTGGGTGGGCATAGGCATGGGACCCAATATTTATTCCTAGAAAGATGTTCCTAATGCATGCTGAAACGTGATGTGAGGCAAGTGTGAGGTACACTCTATGAGATAAGTCCAGATCTGCTCTTCATATCTACCTCACAGGCACATCCCACCGTGTATTGAAAACATCTCCCGTACTAATATGTTATTATTCATGAGATGTTCCGAATGCATGGTGGGATATGCGTGTATGGTCAATGTGAAGTGCACAAAGGGTTACAACACCCTCTCTGGTGTGGTATATTGTAAGGTTTTAGGGTATTTTTTTCACAAAACAAGGGGCTACTGCCATTAGGGATTAACGATCCGTTTGGTTGTTGAGAAGGAATGGGATGAGAAGGGAAAATTTATTTTCTCATTTTGGCATTCTAGTGTTTGATTGCTAAGAAGGAAAAATTACTATTCACCATCTTCCTTTGAACTCAAACCAGTGGCATGGACAAGGTGAGTTCCAATCTCTCTCTCTCTCTCTCTCTCCTTTTTTTTCCTCATCTTTTTCTTCGCTTGCCACTGCTAATTGAACCAGTAAATGTGAGAGTGAATGCAAAGAAGATAACAAATCCCATGAACGAGCACAACCGGAAAAGCAAGTTGGAGAAAAAGCTTGCTGCGACATGAATACTCTTTTACCAAAACCCTCAGAAGCTCAGCTATTGCTTGGCAGAGGATTTTGCACCGGCATAGACCGTTGTGAGCAGAAAAAGCTTGCTGCATGCAAAGAATGAGAAAGAAATGCGAGAGGAAATACGAAGAAAGGAGGGTCTGGAGAAGAAACCGAAGGCCGCTGCGCGTGTGGTTTCCTTTACCACTGGGGTCGCACCGTTTCAGTGCGACCCTGCGTTCCAAGTTTTGGGAAACAGCGTCACACTATTTTTCAGTCCGTCTCACAAAACAAACGAATGAAAATGGGAATCTAAGAAGAATATTCCCATTTTCTCTTCTCGGCCACACCAACCAAACAGACTGTAAGGGGATGGGGGAAGGGCTACCTCAATTGTATAGCCCTAAGAAAATAAAAAAGAAAAAAGATAAACTCAAAGGTAAGGTTGTGTAGACAAATGGATTTATGATATTAAAAAGAACTAAGAAATAAATAACAAGGGAGCCGATGAACTCGAAGCAATTATTTTGTGCAGAGAAATAAAATTATGATTGATGACTCGCCAAAAAATCGTCTCCTAAAAACTCAATTGCCTACTAATACTGGTATATAACATCTGTTAAAAACATACAATGGATCAAATTGCTGAAAAGGCTCAACTTTCTTCTGTTTTCCAGCAACAATACAACAGTCTGTAAAAGTACCCCCCCCCCAACTCAAACTAATACCTCTACATGAGCTTTAGCTGGCTTCAGTCAATTCTCATGCAAAGCCTTCATTAGATATAATCTGTTGAAGCTCTGACCCACAACCCTGCAAATTTCCATTTCCAAATCATATAAACAATTCGCAACCATCCTCTAGCAAGATATAATTAAAAAAAAAAACATCCACACCAATCAAAAAAGAAAATGAATAGAAGCAATGTTTACATGTACCACATGAAAGCAACAGAGATATGAACAATTAAGCCAACTTCAAAATGCATACACATTTACACATGCAATCAGATGAAATAGAACTGTAAACTCCCTATTTCTGAAATACCTAACAAATTGCCACATCAATACTTTAGCCTTAATTAGTTATGGTATAACTTCAAAATCCATGACACCAAACGGAACGGAATGGAAAAACAGATGATGATAACTTCAAAATCCATCTATTTCAGTATGCATGACCATAAAATCCACATGTTTCATAGTTAAAGTTACCAAACCAGCTGCCAGTAGAAGGCATATAGCATACCCATTGATTTGATTGCAATAGTTAGCAATTTGATTTGTTATTAGAAAGCTATCCAATCGTGATGGCTCTGGAACTGGCTTAAAGATGGAGTTTGAAGGATCCTCCTCAGGCAATGGTTCTTCTCCTGCAGCTTTACGTGCCATGTTTTCTGCCCTGTAAAAATTAAAAAGGAAGAGGTATTAGAAAGAAAACTGAATGTAAACCAAAAGCTCTATAAAAGGAAACCTGCTAAAGTTCTATCCAAAATAATTTGAAGAGTGAACCTTGAAAAAATAAAACCAAAAAAGAAAAAATTAATAAATAAAAATGAATGAGGACCCATATAACACAATGTTGGCAAGTTGGCAAAAGTGGTCTCTCTTCAACCTCCGTAGGATGCTAGGGGTAAATGTACTAGATCTAGAAGAGACGCAAGAAAAAAAAAACTATGAAATAGATCCAATTCTCCATCCAACACCTGCGGGCACAAAGGCCACAAATTAGAAAAATCATATTTTCTGCTGCAACCGGTAACATCACTTCCAACCACCCAATGAAAACACAAACTCCACCCATTAAATAAAAATCAGATCACCTTATTATTTTGAATTTAAACAAAAAAGTATATTGGGAAAGAAATCAATGGGGTGAACAGTCCATCCAGGAAGGCATGCAAGTTTCCAAGCCTAAGGCTTTAAGTCCAAGCCTGGCCCAGAAATTTGCAGGCCAGGCCTGGGTTCAATACTAATTGGCCCAGTCCAGAATTATATGTTTATTATCTATTGTGATACTTACCTTGACCTCACATCAATAGGACCTTTCCAAATTTCTTTTGACAAGTAATAGAAATTTTATTGAAGATCAATAGTAAGAGTGCAACATGACTGCTTCCCACTGAATTACATATGAGCCCAAAATAACGGATTCGTATGCACCCCTTGCATAGCTAGACAATCAGCAAACCCATTTGTGGATCTCCTTTCCCACTGAATTCTGACTGTTAGATTTGTGGTTAACCATTTGAACCTTCTCAAAGCCCCCCCATAGGACCAAGCTGCTGACATCGGTTCTTGCAACCACCCGACCCCTTCAATTAACAACTGTTGAAAGCACAACTCTTTAGCAATCTCTGATCCTTGTAAAGCTGCTTGGACTTCTGCATTAACAGACCCCCCCCCCCCGGATTGCTAGACTACAGCCATCAATGTTTAGCTTGACAACACCTTTTTTTTTCTGATCAATAACAAATTCATTAGCAACTTCATTAATTCAGCAAGAAAATAATTACAAAGAGGAAGACAAACACTATTATCTTCCAAATACAACTTGAGCCCCTCAAGAAGAAAAGAAAAAGGAAAGGAAAGGAAGAAACAAT